TTGTTGTCTATAATCCTTGTCATTTCAACAAAAATAAACTAGAATGTCGCGTGGCATTTTTTTCTGTTATCTCTCCCGGAAGATCTTCAAAGGTCAATTATTCTATTTGAGAGTTCGGTTTGTGACATATTGTCTCCATCAATCTTTTAATTGTCGTTAATCTCGCTGCATGTAAATGTAATTTACATATATCAATTGATATGCACTCTGTACAATACGCAAATTTACAATATAAGCTGATTAACAGAATAATTAATAGAATAATAATTATTTATTACAATAACGATAAATACGTATTATTATCGTTATTACTCGACTACCCACTTGTAGCATTTACACTTAAAAAAATGTACGGGGGGATACGCATTTGTTTTTTTCTGAATTGGGATTCTCGCGAAAATTAAACAAACAAAGTACGTAAGAAACATTACCGTACATGCAAAATAGTTTAAAAAGCCAGATTTCTATTAAAAGCAGATAATAGAACGAAAAAGTAGTTTGTCGAAATTTTTTTTGATTTTCTTGGTTTATTGTATTTTCTGTTTTGTTTGTTTGTTTGTTTGTTTGTTTTTCATTCGCATGGTTGATGACGAAAAAATGTTTTTGCCCATTTCAAAAGTCTTTTACTTTTTTACTTTGTGCGTGTTATTTATCTCTTAAAAATTTTTGTTGCCGGATAGAATGTTTCATTAGATTTGTGCCATGTAAACATTACGAAATTCAGAGCACGAAACGCTGGTAGAATAAATCATGCATTTTTGCACGTAGACTTAAATTTAAAAAGAAAAAACGCCAGAATTTATTTAGTAAAAGCAGTATTTCGGCAATGGGGGAAACGATAATCTATTTACGTGTTTACCATTCAAAGAATATTATGTAAAATCTATGTATCGGTATGTATAATTAATTATCAGGTTAATCTATCAAATCTATCAGTTAACGTCAACCAGATGTTATGAATCTCGGTCTTTTATCCGGTTTCGCAGTTTAATGAAATCTTTTGAGTCAAAAGGAACTGTTACACAAAAATTACACAGCCTAAAAGAGAACGTCACAAAAATCTCTTTTTTCTTTTGTGTCTCTGTGATTGGTGTTGTTTTCTTGTTTTCTTGTTGCTTTTCTTGTTTTTCTTGGTTTTTTTTTCGTGATGTTATAAAAAACGAGAAATTTTGTTTCACATTAACATCATTATCATCATCATCATTTGTTACTAAAAACAATAATAAGACTTGCAAATAAAAAGTAATAATGAGAATAATAACAAGAATAAGATAATAATAAGATAGCAATAATTATCATGTAATAACCGTCGCCGTTGCACATTAAAAATGAATGTGCGTAAGTTTTCCTTTATTCTATTTGCCTGTGCATATTCTATATAGCATCTGCATAAGCACACTATTTTAATTTTACATTTTTTAAGGGCCGATTATAGTATACGTATATAAATATCTCACATTAATCCTGTTTCACATATTCCTTTCAAGTAGAATAGCCTAAACGTTCGTGATTGTTGGACGAATATCATCACATCACACATAATTCGTAATGGTGAAAGGGAAACAATGGCCCGATATGTAATTATAGGAGATTTTGCTCCACACGCACCAACACAACATCATCATCATCTTTATCTTATTCATGCCATATAGCGCCCAACACTTTAGGAAAAAAGTTATAAGTACTCCTCTCTTATTTATAATTTCTCTATTTTTTAGAAAAAGCCGAAAGGTTTTCAGGTAGCCGATTTATTCGCGGAATTTTTTTCCTTGGGGAGGTTTTTTTTTTTGATAACCAGACCGTCAGGTTCTACTTCTAAAGACAATAAAAAAAAATACAAAATAAAAAATGTCAGCAGCAGGAAGTTTACCCTACTTAGTTTTAGTTGAAATCTTTTCAGAGATCGAAGAAAATTCACCAAACAGATATCAAACACTTTTCTCATGTTCCCTAGTAAACCGTTATTGGTGTCGTCATGCACTTCCATTCCTCTGGCGTCGTCCATTCAACTGTCGTCCGGAAAACTATGCAAAACTGATTTCAATCTACTTACAGTTTATCGATCCCGACGACTTGACTCTTCTCGATCTTGACATTACCCTTCCTTCTTCGTCACCTTCCTCACTTTTACTTCATTACCCAACGTTCATAAAACACATCGACTTTTGTCATTTTTTTGATGCGGTACAGAGGTGGATGACCACCGATGCCGACTTCAAGAAAGGAAAAAACAGGTGGAACTGGAAACCACAGTGGTTTCATCGTGAGATCCCGATCAGTCAAGAAGTTTTCTCGATCATTAAACGTGGATTTGTTGATGCGCTGTTGTTAAGTTTCATCAAGAGTGGTGCGAGAGTGAACAGCATCGCGTTTTCGCCGCAGAATAACGAGATGTGTTTGGACGAGGTTTTGTGGCCGTTTGAGGAGAATGTGAATGAGCTGGTGGGAAATGTGAATTCAGTGTCGATTTCGGGAATGTTTCAAAAAGAACAAGTCTTTGAAGAATTGGCGAAAGTTTGTAACAATGTGGTAAGTTGCTTGTCCTCTTTATTTATGCAACCCATAATATCTGACGGGGATATTGTTGTCAAAAAATTAACGAATCATTTTTATCCTTAATTAGCAAAATATGGAAGTAACAATTGAAGGAAACGCCGATAATTACGGCGCTCAACTTCCTACTGAATACATACAACTTGGAAACCTCATTCAATCACAAAAAAATCTAATCTCACTCGATTTAACACTTCGAGAAAAAAATCGAGAATTCATCGATCTTCTCTTGCCCTCGATTTGGTGCACTGCCTCCACATTAAAACATCTTCGTTTATGTACCGCCGATTTCCGTAATGTCAGGCAACCATTATTCGGATTGGCCACGTGTAATAAACTAGAGTCGTTGGAATTTCGTTATTGTAAGGGGCTAACGAACGATTTCGTTGCGCCGTTTGTTGGGAATGGAGCATTGAAAAAGTTGGAAAAAGTTCGAGTGTTGGGCAGTTGTTGCTCGATTTTGGCGAGTTGGAGTGAGGAAAAGTGTCGTGTTGCTGGTGGCATTATGCGTTGATTTTTTTTCTTTTTCCTCCTTCAAAAGTACTAAACCACAAAACAAAAATGTAAATATTTTTCTTTCAGTTGTGTAGTTTTATTCCGTTTTTTTTTTTTTTTTTTCTTTTTTCTTTTTTCTTTTAGAAGAACATTTGTATATATAATGCTTCTTTCTGCGCTGTACATAAAATAATCTGTTCGACTCCTTCGTTTCGTTCTCGTTCAAGTTTTTAGATCTGTTCAAATTAATTTGTTCTGTTCGTAATACTGTTCGATTTGTTCTGTCTTATCTTTTTAATTCTTTTGAATTAAAAACTTCCGATTCGATTCTGTTTTGTTTCATTATAATTTTATCTTTTAACATCGATATTATATTAATAATAATAATAATAATAATAATAATAATAATAATAATAATAATAATAATAATAAAAGTAGACTGTAACATAGACTATAAAAAATAATAAAAGAGCAAACAATGATGTTGTGCAACTATAACTTTATTGAGATGAGTCAAAACTCGAGGAAATACAGTATTAGTATAATACAATGAAAGCTCTGCCGCTACGTATAACGATCCCTTTTACAAACTTTGGGAAAATTCACACAAAATAACAACATTAAATGCGCATCTGCAACCAATGTCGATATTCAATTTACGTACTATTTAAATTAAGAACAAACACCAACTTCTGAAATCTCAAATCCCTATGTCCATAAGCACCCTATCCAATGATTATAAGGAGACGATATTCCAACAAGATAATGCATTAATGCACAAGTGCAAGCTTGTGAAGTAGCTTAAAGATGATCATGGAACGTGAGACCATTGACATTTATAGACTCAATGCCAGAACACATTATAGAGGTACTAAAATAGATCAATTTTAATCACTATCATAATCAGATAAATTAATAGTATATATATCTAAAGGTTAGTAAACTCTGAATAAATATATAATTAAGTTAGAAATGAGTGTGCGGTAAAGGCACGGTTAAGAAAATTTTCAAATACCCGATATAATTTCAAAAGAATAATTATATTCCCAATATAAAACACAGTATAATTATTTTTGAATAATTTTATAATGGCCATTCCTTACCTATTTACATGTATAACAAATTTTGGAACTTTGATACTGTATATGACGTTTGTCTTTAATGAATAGTTTGCATTGTGAGTGAATCATAGCATATCAAAGATTTCCCTATAAATCTCACTTAACGCAAAGGCCAGTTCGCAACTTAACAATGTGAAGTAGCCGATCATTCGCTTACCTCTACTGTTAAAAGTTAAAAGTTCGTTCTGAATGATTCCACGTAGCATATTGATGAACTTTTGGTGCGAGCATCCAAATACTTATAATTTATTAGCATCGAAGTCATGCTCGAGCATCTCGCAACAAATGTCGGTGAGAATGTATTTCTCGGAAGTTCTGTGACTACATGATATTTGGGTTGTTAACATGAGCCCATTAGAAGAACTACTGACTTTACATACCGAGATGAAATGATTTTCAGCGAATGCTGGTTTGAAACTAAAGATGGCGTTCCAACTGTTGCAACCAGTGATACTTTATTTTTCACAACGTTTCAGTTTCAAAATTTATAAGTTGAAGCCCGTAATATTTTATTCACAATGTTGCGACAGTTGAAACGCATCTTTATTTGAAACTCATTTTCAGCGCATTTAATATCAATTTTACTGGCCTTAGACATTGAGGAGCTAATTAGAACATAAACTGGCATGAAAAAATTGCATTAATGAACAATTAAACATGTTCATATTCAGAAAATGGACAATTTTTTATGTTAACAAGAATCCGTGACTCTTTATAATCAATATAGGATTCAGATGAATGTGGATGTTCCGAACACAGGTGAACCGAACATTCAATTCTATGGTTTGACGTGAATTATTTTTCAATTAAACTTTCAAATGATGTTTATTGTCATTTATGATTGAACTTGTTGATTTCGTGAGGTCAATGAAAGAATATCGAAGCGGAATTTGAAGCGATTCAGCAAAGAGCTCAAAAATTATAGAACAAAACGGAACAGACCGACAAGAACGATTTAATTAACGAAAAACAGAAACATGGAGAGAGAGAGAGAGAGAGATTAATCAATCGAAAGAAACGCTAAGACCTAGCAATTGAAAGTAACAAGTAGGAATAGAATTAAACAGCAAGAATAGAGAACGATAGCATAAATGATTCATGCTGAATTTAACCACTACACAGTAGGATTTTGAATTTCGACGAGAACACTGTCCATCCCTCTATTTAAAATCTATTTATTTATCTGTTAATAACAAAAAGTCATAGAAATGCAAATTCGTCCAAAAAATTCAAAGATACACATTACATTTGCCCCCTCTAACATCAACCTTGCTAATATCAACAGCCTCTCTATTAGCAACATTGATTATAGAATGGATTTCCCTTTATAAAAAATTCCCTTGCATATATCAACTTTGATATCATACCTCGTTAATATCACTATCAAGATAAACCAGAGTTCGCTCTTAATTATATGTACCTCGCTGATATCAACATCAACATAAATCAAACTTTATAAAATCTCGCTTTCTGGTTTTTCTGGTGTGTGACAATCGCACAGAACGATCGGCATCCCAAATGATCGTGATAATTTTGGCATTCCATGCATTTGGGATGCAGATCATTCGTTAACTCCCAACTCTAATATCCATCCACGCATATATCAACAAAAAATAGACCGGTCCCCGTGAGGTTGATATTAAAGGGGCAGACTGTATTTAGAATTGTTTTTAAATTCTTGGCAAATACAAAATTATTTAAATACTCTTTTTTTTAGATGTAGCATACATGTAATTACATGATCAATTTAATTTTAAATTCAAACGTTAAAAATTGATGAAAGTCTTTCTTCAATTGCGAAAAACCTTATGATTATTAATATGTGATGCTTTTTTTTGATTGTCGGAAATTTTTAATCATACGGTAAAATCTCTTTTATAACGGAATTTGTGTTATTATTTCCACATAATTTCGTCATATCTTTAATCAAACGCTAAATCTTCCAAGAGAATGTGTAAGCCGAGACCATTACACAATTAAAGAATATTGTTGTTTTCAAATTTTTTCGGGCATAACAAACATGCAAAAAAATGTATCAAAAATTCTCATATGAAAGAAGTTTCTGAATTCAAACCTACCATTCACGTTCATGCATGTAGGAAAGTCATCAAGCATTACTATCGACACTCATTGCATATTTAGTTAAAAAGAAACAAAGTCAGCCCACTTTCTATTATCGTATAATACAAAGAACTGAGTTTATTGTTCTTTCAAATAATAATCGACACATATTTCTAGATGGCTGTTGCTTAATTGTATGTCTTTTTTATGAATGCGAAAAAATAGAAATCAAAAAGCTACCTCGCTAAATTTACTTAATTACTGCTCGCTTAACATAATGAATATTTTGAATTTCCTCTATCATTAGGAAAGTATCTTTTAATATAACACATCTACGCAGGATTCTTGTAACGTGTAATATTATATTACCTGCCACATATACCAAGCATTCTAAATAAACTATTGTCAAAAATAAAGTTGTAGAATATATTCTTAATTGATACTTTGAATTTATATTTATATTCGTAGTATAAAATAGAATTTCTTAATTCTAGTTTTTAAAAATAATATATTAAATTTTTTTTGAATTTAAAAATATATTTTTTCTATTAATTTCAAATAACTAAGGTAAAAAGGATATTTGACAGATAATACAAGTATTATATATTTATTATAGTCAAAAGGTTCAGTCAATTTTACATAAAACTAGTATATTCATTGTAAGAAGAGGATAATATTTTGGCCAACATGAATAACTAACTCTCAGAATCATGTGTAAATACTAACATATGATTTATTATTTCTAGATAAATCAAATATTATTATTTTTATATGTTTCTGAAAGCTAAAGATTTGACATATGATGAATTTTAGAAATGATATCTTGATATCTAGTAATCAAAATTAAATTACCATTTGATCTATTATATCTAGATATCACAATTTCTGATTGGCTATTACAACTTTATCTATTATTGATCTTTTACTAAGTCACAACTAGCAACTATATAATACTTATTTATATCTTATTAAAAATATTATTATTAGTTTAGATAAATCAAATATAATATTTCAAGCAATTTTTAATCATTAAGTATCAAAATATTATATATTAATTAAAATACTTTCTTTTATTTATAAAATATTAAAATATAATAAAGTATGTAAATTATATAATATATATTTATAATATTATATCTCTTAAAAAGATTATTTTGTAATAGATTAATAACTTTATATATAATATTTAATTAGAATAAAATATAATAAAAATATTAATATGGGTCATTGCAAGAAGATTGATATATCAATATAAAAATTAATAATTACTTCTAATAAAAATTATTCAAATTTTAATCAATCTTTATAATTTTTTTATATTAAA